CACTGAGGCAGCCATCCGCGGCGCCATCTTGATTTTTCCCTTGCAACAGGGCGGTTTTTGCTTTGATCCCATGCACGGTAGCTCCACACCCTCTGTGAGCAATCAGAATACAGCTGCTTCTGACTTGTGGATGACGTCAGACTAATCTTCTCACATCTGTTCACCAAAGACGCCAGAAGACCTGCCTGAGGGCCGTCAACTGTTTCCAGCTTTTTTTTCCTACATCGTGACAAAAACAATTCCAAAATACGCAGCACACCAGCTGTCACAATGATTTATGTCGAGTTAGAAAAAGGTTTCTTCCAAGTAGGGACGACTGAGGTAGAGTGGTCGTTCAACAGTTCGATAACCAGCCCTGCAGGCTCTCAGGGGCTCAATGTGGACTTTACACGTCAAAGTGTGCTTGGGAAAGATATCAAACCCCAAATGTGTTGGTGTGCCATTATATAGCATACTGTATATGCTAGAGATGTCCCGATCCGATCACGTGATTTTCAAAAGATCGGAATCGGGAGAAAAAAAAATCGGGGATCGGGATTTTTTTTTTTTTTTTTACTTTTTTTTTTTAATTAATTGTTACAAAACAAAAATGACCATGTTCAAGTCTTAAAGTCATCCTGAGGCCTAAGATTTGGTTTCAAATGACACAACATCATGTATGTGCTGCTTCTTTGGGGCTTGTTTTCATAGACCTGGTTGCTTATTTCTCTCAAATCTGGCAACAGAGTGGGCGCAGTGTCTAATTGTAGCAGTAAGCTAACGAGTACTGATAAGCTTTATTTTGTTTTGATCCAATGCTGCACAACTGAACTGATCCAATGCTGCTGTGAAAGAAAGAAGCTATATCCATGTTGGATAGAATATCCAATTTAAATAAAAAAATAACCTTAAGGGACAACTTGAATGCTTTTTTTCTTTTTTTCTCTCTTAATGCATTGCATAAAGATCGGATCGGGAAAAATCGGTATCGGCTAATTGTCAAAATCAAATGATCGGAATCGGATCGGGAGCAAAAACAGGTGATCGGGACATCCCTAGTATATGCCATGGTATAATGTCAAACTCCCAAAAAATAAACATAAACCTACGGTGTACTAAAAAGCTTGAGCAGCCTCAGAAGGAGCAACAATGTCGGAGGTGTTTGAATGTCTGAATAATGACTATTTATGTTTAACAGCTTTAAGAGGGGTTGAAAAGCCCATCACCAGTTGTGTCCTTTCGTAAATAGACCCTCTAATGTACCACAGATACAACAAGAAGCCATTTCAAGATCTGATGCCTCAAAAAGTCGATCATATAAAGGTCAATCTGGATCGTCACCAATCAAAACATCCACCCGGATGAAAAGTCTCCTCGGTGTTACTGATGCAACTTAAAAATAGTAATACATTTATTTTGTGATTTTACAGGTGCTCAAAGTGGCCTTACAGACGGAGTGAAAAGGACAACCAATACATATAGCAAAAGTCACATTAAAATCGAGCAATAAAACAACCATCACACATTGTAGTTTGAAGAGGTGAGCTTTTGTACGTGTT